ACTCTCTTGAATAAAGATAGTGATAAAGCTCCATACTGTCAATTTGTATTTTTTAACCACCTCGCACCATATTCTAAGTGTTTCTTTTAATATTGAATCGTCTCCCTTGGGGTCTGTATGCTCTATTTCCCCTAGCTTGGTTTGAGGGGGATCCTGGCCCAGTTTCAACTCAATATCCTTCCATCTAGCTTGATATTGTGGGGAGCACCAATAGACAATATACCTCTCCATGATTTATTTTTATTCTATCTACCATTATTAGATTGTCAATATTGATGCATCAATGTGTAAGCAGCATTTTACTGTTGAAGCCAGTTTTAGAAACAGTACTGGCTCCAATTTAAGATTTTATTTAGTGGAAATAACTTTTAAGAAGTTGGGGTTGTCTTATATTAGAGTAAATATACATAGTTAGACTCCAGAGTTAATTTTAAAATACTGTAGAACAGAAGTTTCTAACTTACAGATCTTTCCAAGCTTCAACAGGATAAGAACAATGACAACAATGGCAGCAGCGACACAACAGCAGACAATGAGGACAATTTTCCACAGAGGATCCGTCTTTGCAGCACCTGAAGGAGTATCAGACAGTGTTGAGAAGAAGAGCCTCTGAGGTGATGCAGGTTTTTTCTCTTGTAATGTGGTTATTAATTCTGATCATTAATCTATAGTGTGCTGCTCCTGATTAAAAGAATAAAAAAATCATTAATACGCAGCTCCCACAGTCAGATTATCTTGTATTTAAAGAGATCGTAGGATAAAGTGAATCAAAGAAAACTGAACAAAGATATTTACCTCCATCGCCTGACTTGGTCACTCCTTCCACTGGAGGTTTAGTTGTGCTGGAGTCATCTCTCCTTGTCCTGTTCTGTGGGTCTATGGGTGCTATTTAAAAAGAAAAAGACAAAAATGTTATCAGTTCATTAAGATAAAGGAACAACCAGTGAAAAACAACTGCATTTAAGCTCAGAGTAATTTACCAGGATTGTCCAGCTCATCTACAGGAGCTACGTTCTCTTGATCTTTGGTTACTGTTTAAAAAAAAGAAGACAATGTTTTCAGTAGTCAGAAAATGCAGATTAAAAATATCATCTAGTAGTGAGACAATCTGCCTGTGCCCAGAAGTCAAAAACAATATTCCTAATTCTGACTAATCTGAATTAAACTGTATTAAACTCAGCATTCTCACCAACACTGAGGTCAATGACACAAAAGGCATTCAGTTATAAGACAAAGACCTAATATGGTCCACTGTCAGACAGCTTTACTGAAGAGAAAATCAGTGTCAGGATTCCTCTGGTCAGGTCTTCATGGGTGAGAGTTGTCCTGTCCTTGTACTGAGCCGTCTGTGGACGAAGATGGTCCTTTCCACGTACCCACGCGTGGACAACATTGTTATTGACATCAAGGTCAAGTCTGCTGACATCCACTGTGCAAGCAGACAAGTCGACCCCATGAGCCAGAGGACACTGAAGAGTGACATCGTCACCTTCTACTGCTGTGATTGGTTGACTCGTGACACCTGGGGAAACAAAGGTAACACAGAGTCAACACGTCTGAAGGACAGAGTTTATGAATTTAAATTCAGTGGTGCAACAGTTTCTGAAATGTGAAAATGCTGCTCCACCTCATTTCAGTTCTCCTGTGCAGAATAAACTGATCAGTGGGATGGTCTGATGTGTCTAACGAGCTTGATGCACACCTGCAGCTCTTCACAATAAATGCCGACATGTGTCTGTGTCTTTCCTACATTTCAGTTGTTTCAGCTCGAGTACAGAGAGAGTATTCTTTGCTCTTTGCTTCATGATGAACTATTATAAATATGTAATTATTCTTAATAGGCGATTGTAGCCAAGTACCATAATG